AAGGGGGGTACGTACAGTCAAGCACACATCTCGGTAGACAGTGACTGTGAGTCACGGGATGGCTGCTGCTGGTCACGAAGAGCAGATTTTCTCCATTAATGATTTTAGTGCTTCTCTAGGTATGAGGCGATGCAAGAAATTAGGTTCATAAAATTAATACTGAAAATATTCATGAAATATTTTACATTCATTTTTCTATACTAAGTGATGTCCAGAATTCATTTCATACTTAACAGCACGGGTCAATTCAGACTAGTCACATTTCAAGTGCTTAATAGCTAGATGTGGCTGCCCTCCCTGGTAGACAACATGGGACTAGACAGACCGGCCATTGCATGAGAGACACTTTGTTTTCAAATCCTTGAACAGACAGTAATTACAAGTAGTCCTAGGAAGAGAGGGTGGATTGGAACCTCCTATCTCCAAATTCCACACCCATGGATGAGGATTATAAATGGTCTCAAGATGATAGTTTTTGAGGAAAAGTTGTCAGCATCAGCCAGGCTGGTTGCTTTCTAACACAGGACTCACTGGCAGCCGTACTTGGCATCCTAATGTTCACCAGTGAAGGTCTTTATTTTTTGGATAATAGACTCAATTTTATTCTTCAGCCTTTTTGTAGAATTTCCAAAGACTACACTTTACTTGATATATTGTACTAAACTCTTAAAAGAAGATTAGGTTTTCATAGGCATAAGCACAAGTTCAAACCATTTTGATTGGATTTATCCAATGGCCTGATCTATTTAAGGAAACATCCGCATATTCCTGCAGTCCTCCATCTAAGGGACAATGATCGCGCCTCACATCTGCCATTCTTCTGTTCTTTAAATTTCTCTTTACCTTTTACTAGACAGTAGCTCATTGCTCCAATGCTATCATAATTAGCCATTCTTTATGGTAACATTGCCCTTTTATGTTTCTGCATGGTTTCTCTGTCTTGACTGGATGCTAACTGATAAACGTTATATCCATGCAAGTGAATGCTGTATGTCAGTGAAATTTAATG